TTGATAGAAAATGCAAGTACTTTAAGAGTATGCATAATATATCTACTTGTTTGGGAGGATTTTGTATCTGCTGGCGTAGTGCCTAAGGCATTTGACTGCTAACCAGAAGGCTGGCAATTCAAACCCACCAGCCACTTCTTGGTAGGAAGATTGGGCAATCTACTTCCATAGTGATACCACCTCAGAAACCCAAAGAGGGGTTGCTATGAGTCGGATCCAGCTCAACAGCAGTGAGTTTGGTTTTGGTTTATAGTGGAAATGAAAAATTGTTTCCTTAAAAATTTGCTTTCAATTATAAATTTTTATAAAGGGAGAAGCTTTATTGTGAACACAACCTTACTGTTTTATGTATTTTTTTAAGTTTTTATTAAAAAATAATAAATCTGATTTCTGTGTATTGCTCTTGTATCCTGCAACTTAGCTGGATTTGTTTATTACAGTTCACTCAGGAAAGCTCTCCTAGCTTTCTTGTGAATTTTTAAGGATTTTCTATATATCATCTATGAAGAGAGAGAGAGACTATTTTCCTTCTTTTTGGATTTGGGTACCTTTTATTTCTTTTTCTTGTCCAGTTGCTCTTGACTAGGACTTCCAGTACAATATTGAATAGCAGTGGTTAGAAGCAGGCATCTTTGTCTTGTTCCTAGTATTAGGGAGAAAGCTTTCAGTCTTTCACCATTGAGTGTAATGTTTGCTGTGGATTTCTCATTAAGTGTCTTTATCATGATGAGACATTTCCCTTTTATTCCTAGTTTGGTGAGAGTTTTTAATCATGAAAGCGTCATTGGATTTCGTCAAAAAAACAAAAAGTTCACAAAGGAAAACCAAGCCAAATCAAATGACAAAAAGGAAAGCAAGAAAAATGGTTGTGTGTGGATATACTTACTGTATTGGCTAATGAAATATTTTTGTTTTATTCTCTAAGGATGTAAATGCTTATTTATTACAATTGCATTGAAGAGTTTCATCTACTTAAGAGTGCGTGGTTATTCAAAACATCCCTGGACTACATGATTTCCAGAAAAATGTCTCTTCTGAGAACTCTGAACTATGGAAGAAATCAAACCATTTTTTGTTTTAAAAAGCCACATAATGAAACCACTAATGAAATCCTAACAATCTGCTTCACATTGAAGTGGAAAAATTTTCAAAAGGAGCAACTTCAACTTCAATGAGGTGAAAGTGCACTATGAAGATTGTTGGCCTTTGCTGCATTTGGGATTTATATGGTTATTAGGTAACTTTGTCTAAGAACTACTGGATCTTAATGCACTCCTGCGTATTACATAATATAATTTATACTTTGTGCAAAAATAAGACAAGACTTATTACTAGGAACCACATAGACCAATCATGAATTTTTTTAAGATTATGTTTTATAAGAAAACACTTAAATTTGTGTAGCTATTTTCATATTTTGTAAGTTTAAAACATAATAGAAAATGATACTAAAAATTTTTTTGTTCACACTGAGAAACTACTGTGTATGAAAAATGCCTTAATTATTAATAAGTCAATATGTTAAAATACCAAGATCTGTTTTAAAAAATTAAAACCAACCATGCATCTGACATGATAAAATCATGGAATTAAATCACAGGTTTACATTCATGTAGACTGTTATTGAAACCTATTCCACACCATTTTTAAAACTTGAGAATATCTTTGGTATCTCTGGTTTGGTTTTTTTTCTTTTCCTGTTGTCATTTTTTGTCAGAGACATCATATCATATATGTATGTGTTATATCTTTTATAAAAGAAAAAAGGTGAATATGTATTTGTATGAATGCTTAACTGGAAATGTCCATGGAGTTGGCTAATTTATATTCACTTTTCATTGTATATAGATTTCTAATATTTTCAGTTCTGTATCATTTAAGCTTCTTTCTTTTGAGTAAATTCACTAAATATTTCTATTTTTTGTTCTTTTTTAAATTCTAATTATTTTATATGAATTCTAAATCCTTCTTTATTCATTACATATGTTAAAGAGTTACATAATACTTTAGAAATGTTTACACTTAGTGCTGACCATGTATTTTAAGTTCTAACATTTTCCATTACTACCTCTTCCAGTGGTTGAGATGAAATACCAGCAGACTTTATGAAGTCTTGTTTTTTTTTTTTAAAAAAGGCAAATTTTAGTGTCAATGAATCCAGTTCTGGAATGTCTTAATAGCTGTATATCTTACCTGTCTTGAAAGTGATGGGGTTTTAATACCACTATTGAGTGATTTGTATATCATCTCATCATTGCATAAGCATGACAAGTATCTGAGCAAAGATGTTCATTAATTGAATTTCTCTGCAGTAATTCTCCAAGCACTTGAATGTAAATCTTTGGCGTTTACCCAACTAATAACAACTGATATGAATCCCAGACAAGCATCTTTTTTGCTTTGAAAATGTTAAAACTTTGTTTAGCTATGTTTTGTATAGCTATATATTCCCTACAATGAAAATCAGTTGTAGTAATTGGTTATTAGATTAATTGGCCTTTAGATTAGAATCATTTCAGATTAGAATCATTTCAGATTATTGCATTCTGTGATTTGAGAGGTGAGTTAAGTTGTTTTTCAGGAAGTGGAAATTTGAATGGTAAACCTGCGTCATCTCTGTAGGACCATAAGATTATGAACTGTAACCTTGCTTTGTTTCTGTTCCTTTAGTTATCTCTTGTCTTGTCTATCTAACAGTTTGAACCAGTTAACTTGGTTGGAGCATGGTGCTAATGAGGCTAAGGACAGGAGTTCAACCATTTTATATGTTCATTAATTTTACACATTCAAAAAAATAATAATAACAATTTCTAGCCTACAGATTATACCCTTTCTCAAGTATCTAGTTCACAGATTCAGCTCTTGGTCCCAAGGAAAATTGTGTGTATAATTTAGCATAAACCCTTGACCTCAAATGGAAAAATAACTAAAATAATTGATGTATGTGATACTGTAGACTTTTGGTATGATATTTAACATAATATATTTGAAAAACCATTCTTATATGCCTCTCTGGATCAGATCATTGACTAAACAGTGTCTTTTAAAATCAAGCTTCAGTATATCAAACTTCACTAAAAATTAAGTTCATCTACAAATGAAACAGTAAAGAAAGATACTCTGTTAACACTGAGTTGTACTTGCATTTGGATTTGTTGAACAAGAGTATGTTAAAACACCATTAAGGCAGCAGTCTTCAGCACACAGATTATTTGGTAGGATACACCTCTAATTTCTTTTCTTGGCCTTTGTAATTATTTACCTTAGTACCTACCTCTCAGTTTTGAGTTATTATTAGATTAGGTGATTTTAAGATTCTTGAATGAAAGATGATGTTAGATAAATAAGTATTTTTGAACACTTCTTTTGCTGCTAAATGCTTCTCATGGTGTATAACATTTTACTCATAAAAGTATTGATCTCCAGAAAAAGCTCCCAAAAAAGTGTTTACAAAACGTATTGGCTGTTATGTTAACCTAGATTAGTATAATTGCTGTCTGTCATTGCTCATCTGTTACAGTATACAGGATGAAAAGTCTGCCCAAGGTCTCTATGCCTTTTTAGGTCTCTTCTACCTTCTTAGGTTTTGTGTACGTGACTTTACTAACTTTGCAAGTCCTGGGGACAGGTAGTTTATTGAGGTGATAGAGTGTTATAATTAAATAATTTGCTTCTAGTAGGGATAAAATGAATGGCTTTAGTAGAATGGGCATGAACAGAACAAGGGTTAAAAGTTAGGAAGCAAGTACTATAATCAGATGCCTTTTTAAATTACTCTTTTGGCAATAACTTCAAAGGTAATTGACACAAATTATTTTCATGAATCCTGAGGTATGAGAATTTGTATATGAGTATCTATATCCGCCGTGGGGATCATAAATATCTGCAGTGAACTCTAAGAACTATTGAGGAATTAAATCCCAGAACCCTAAACATACTTGGCACACGTGATTCCCTAAGTTTAAGCCTGGCTGTGTCCGTTCAAAGCTGTATCTCTGGCCTTTGAAATTGGAAATTTTTTAACCTTAGAACATTTTTGTATTTGACAGGTTGTTGATATAGTAAACATTAATGGATAACTAGTACAAAAAATGGTAATTAGCTATTAAATACTGATAATAGAATGTTGTTTAAATATTTACTTAAGTTAGGTAGTCTAAAAAATAAGCAAGATTTAAGTTAGTGTTTCATTAAGCATTACTAAATAAAATAAACCCAGTTACCTTTCTTCCTGTTTAAGAACAAGATGGTAATATCAGTTGTCCTTATTGGTTTATAGAAAAAAATTTCATTAGAATCACAGTCAGCTAGCTGACTCAGCTCATTGGAGTGATACATTTGGATGCACTTCTTCCAACCTTTCCATATAGACATAGTATTACTTGGCATCCTTTGGTAAGTATTTCCTCCTGTGTTACTCTTTTTCCCCTTAATTGTTCTGACTTTAAATATTGTTGAAAAACTTGTGACACACTATAGTCTCCTTTTTAATTCTGTAACAGGACCATAGAGTAAAAAGGTTTATCCCTAATCACTGTATGTTTCTAATTTGTAATAGAGTCTGATTGGTTCAGCAACAGCACCAACTATAACAACAAAATAAATACTGTATATCATGTACCCATACAATGAGTATATTTTCTACAGTTGAATTTAAAATACTGTCTTTTACAATTTTCTTTTATAGACTATAAACCCAAAACCGAACTCACTGCCATTAAGTCAGTTCTGACTCATACCACCCCCCTTTGGGTTTCCGAGGTGGTAAATCTTTATGGAAGGAGATTGCCCAGTCTTCCTTCCATGGAGTGGCTGGTGGGTTTGAACCACCAACCTTCTGGTTAGCAGTCAGATGCCTTAGGCACTACGCTACCAGAGCTCCTTTTATAGACTGTTAAAGAAACAAACAAACTCACTGCCATCAAGTCAGATCCGACTCATAGCGACCCCTCCTTGGGTTTCCAAGGCAGTATCACTGCGGGAGTAGATTGCCCACTCTTCCTTCCAAAGAGTGGCTGGTGGATTTGAACCACCAGCCTTCTGGTTAGTAGTCAAATGCCTTCGGTGCTGCGCCACCAGATTTCCTGCTTTATAGACTATAGTTGATCATAAAAAACTATAGTCTATAAATAGTCGATTATAAAACAGAAAGACATAGGTACTATGTGCCAGTAGTTTATGAAAAGGCATTGCCATGAATGCTAATGTATTTTTTCTTAGCAAAGCTTGTTATATATTATTGCTTTGATAAGCAGAATTATTATTCTCTGGACTTGTTAGGTGATGTCACGTCAGCTCCAATGCATAGCAGCCGTATGTATATCAGAACAAAGGGTTACCAGGTCCTGTACTATCCTCACAATCACTGCTGTGTTTGAGCCCATTGTAGCCACTATGTCAGTCTATCTTTTGGGGGCTCCCTCTTTTTCACTGACCCTCTGCTTACCAAGCATAATGTCCTTCTCCAGTGATTGGTTCTTGGACTGTTGTTGTTATGTGCGGTTGAGTCGGACCTGACTCATAGCGACCCCTCCTTGGGTTTCCAAGGCAGTATCATTACGGAAGTAGATTGCCCCATCTTCCTTCCGAAGAGTGGCTGGTGGGTTTGAACCGCCCAGCCTTCTGGTTAGCAGTCAAGTGCCTTAGGCACTACGCTACCAAAGCTCCCAGTTCTTGGACTAGGAAGTATTTAAAAAATAATAATAAATATTGCTTAAGTTGGGAGATGGTAGGAGTTTAGATAAACCACGAGTCACCAAATACACTTGAACTAGAGTTGATTCTTATACTTGATAGTATTCTGTGTTTTCCTTCAGGTTTAAACTAGGATTTAAAAAAAAAAAAAAAAGCCCTGCATCTAGCCAGGAATATTATGACACCACCAAAGCTAGGAAGATTTGAGCAGAAGTTTTTTCTGTGGTGAGAAGAAGTTGTCTGGGAGTCTTGGGATATACTGCATGGCCAGAATTACTCTATTTACCAACCAAACCTGCAGCATGAAGCCTGGATTGGAATTAGACTTCATCTTCTAAGAACAGTTAGAATCCATTTAATTTCCTATTTCCTTTTTTTTTCAAAAAAAAAAAAAACACATTGGCCCTTTGTATAGAGTTAAATGGTAAAGGAGGACCTGCCTCACCACTTGCTTGACCTGTAGTACACCACCACCTTCTCTTATACAAGTGCAAATTATCATCAAAACAGCAAGAGAAAGAATTGATACCTACCTGGTAGGCAGTAGGCTTACAGGGGGTTTATTGTTGTGTTGTTGTTATGTGCCGTCGAGTTGGCCCCTGACTCATAGTGACCCCTCCTTGGGTTTCTGAGGCAGTATCACTACAGAAGTAGGATTGCCCAGCCTTCCTTCCGAGGAGTGGCTG